AAGTGGCCCGGTGTTTAGACACTACTTTTCGCCGTAATGTCAAAACCTTGTTATATACAACCGCCTTTCGGATAGTTAAAGAGGAAATTTATGATGCATGGCTAGGCAAATGCGGCGAATATGGTCCAAAACAAGGTCTAATTAACGGAAAAAATATGTCCCAACTATTTGGTGAAAATTGAAGAACTATTGTCGACAACAAAGAGACCATGGAAGAAGTTAATGAGTATTGCGAAAGTTTAATTAACCTGATAATTGAAGAGAAAAGAGCCGAAGGAGTATCTAGCCCAGAACCAGAAAAACAACAACAACAAGAAGAAGAAGAAGAAGAAACCGAAAAACCTAACGAGGGAAATTTCTTTGCGGAAAGAAATATATCGGATCCAGCCCACCAGCAAATTTGAAAAGATAATTTTACTCTGGCTGAGGCTCAAACTACTTATGCTAATGGTTGGACTGATTTAACTGAGGCGGCTGGTATTACCCATATCAATAAAGATAACAAGACTTTTACTTATTTTAGAATTCGCGACTATATCAAATATAATATTGAAAATGTAAACTATTTGGAGAGGAGGAAAGATGATTGTTATTTTGAATGATGCTTTAATATTTGAAGTGCTGACATAACTTCTTTAAGAGGAGAAAATTTTTCGGATGCAAAGATAAATGAACTTCCTTTACTTTCTTCTCAAAAAGAAAGCTTAATAAATGAAAAAAAACAAATGATAAATGCTTTGCAGAAAGCGGAATTAGCCTGGAATTGAAGAGCTTTTTGAAAAAAGCACCAAATTGTGGGTGTAAACAACGTAAATTATTGAAAAGACAAATATTCTACTCCCGAAGAAGCCGAAGCCGTTTACACTAAAGCCTATGCTGAGGCACTTACAGATGAAGAAAAAAAATTACTTAAATTAGCCCAGAACCCCGAAGAGATTAATTGAGTAATCCAAGAGACTATTCCGTGAGAAAGATGATTTACTGCTGACAAAAATATAACCAGAGAAAGCACTAAGCAAAAGTGAAAATCTAGCGGTCTAACTCTTGCCGAAGCGGAAATTGCTTGAAGTAAGGGTTGAACAAGTATTAGTAGATATCCTATTGTTAACAAAGTTGTCTCAGAATATAAATGTAATGTTTCTGATGAAGTTAGTTTTATTAATGTAGACGTCTTAACAGTTGACCGAAACGAACTAGACAAAGCCAGCCGGATTTTAAACGCAATTGCGAAAGAAACTGATGTCGCCTCTCTCCCGGAAGAATTTGCATCTGCCGAAATTGCCTGCTTAAAAGATGAACTTTTGCCGCCCGAAGCTCAGAAAGAAGCAATTAAAAAGGCCATCCGCGACAAACGAGCCACTTTTCTTTTGGAAACTGACAAACCAGCCGAAACGGTCAAGGAGCACGAAGTATCAACAACCACAACAGGAAGCACTTCGAGCGAAAAAGAGCCAGAAGTTACAAGTTCTACGACGAAAACTGCGGGAACAATACAAACCAGCAGTCCCGTCAGTTCAACTTCGGAAACAAGCATTACCCCTCCGGGTTCTCCAACGGGGCTAGAAAAAAGAGAGAGGAGCATAAGTGTTCCGACTTTCCCAACAACATCAGCAACAACACCAGAAAAAAGAAAGTCACTTAGACTTTTCGGTTTTGGTTCGAAAAAAGAGAGCCAACCGCAAAGTGATAAAGATGAAGAAAAAAAAGGACTTACTAACTTGTGAGGAATTTTTTCTCCCAAAAGTCCAACAACTACAAAAATAGTAGAAGGTGAAGCAACAGAAAGCCCCACAAGCACTAGCAACGCAAGTAAGAGCGACAAGACCGAAGGCGGTAGCCCCCCCCCCCCCCCCCCCTCAGTCCCCTTTACTTCATAAAGAACCAAAAAAATTCAAACGAAAACCAAAAAATAACGGATAATGATAACTCTGACGAAATTGATTAAAAATAATATTTAAATATGACCCGAGCCCGAAATACTCCCGCCACTCGTAAACGACGGAAAAAAATTTTAAAACAAGCCAAAGGTTATTTTGGCTCCAAACATAAATTATTTAAAACGGCCAAGGAGCAAGTAAACAGGTCCTTGGTTTATGCTTATCGAGACCGCAAAGCAGAAAAGCGCCGCCAGCGTCAAAACTGCATAAGTCGTATAAACGCCGCTTGCTGCAAGCGAGGTCTTAAATATTCTAGATTTATGCGTTTAAAAGTTTTAGCCCAAATCAAACTAGATCGCAAACAATTATCAGAGATGGCTATCCATCAACCCTCCGATTTTGCAGCTTTAATTAATAAAATCCAAAATCCGTGAAATTAAAAAGAGCAAAAGCGAGATTTTTCGCTACCACCAATTAAAAAAAATATATTATATGTTATTATTAAACAATCTCAAAATCCAAGAAACAATCTCAAAAAGTCCTCATAGTTCCTCTTTCATCCTTCGTTATTTACCGTCTACTTGGGGAATAACCCTTGGTAATTCCTTGCGTCGTGTTCTCCTTTCTGCTCTAAGCGGAGTAGCCGCTTTTGCTATCGAAATTAAGGTTAAAAAAAACCCCGGGACTACTGACGACGAAATGGTTCCGGTGCTAACCAAAATTTCTTCTTTGGCCGGAGTTACCGAAACTACACCTTACTTAATCCTCAACTGCAAGGAAGTAGTTGTTGAAGTTAAGAAAAAGGATGAAACTTATTATTGCTTAGAAATGGATGCAAACAGCCCAAAGGATGAGGAATATATTGTTACCGCTAAGGATTTTAAATCTAACCCGCATTTGGAAATCAAAAATCCTGACCTTTATTTAGCCACTTTGGCTCCATCTTCCCGTTTACAAATAAAATTATATTTCCGCGAAGATTATGATTATCATGCAGCCGAAAACCAAGAAAAATATCTTCCAGAAGCGGAAAATGTAATTTTTCTCAATACAAATTTTTCCCCGATTAAAGTTAAAGATGATGATATAAGTGGCGTAAATTTTCAAGTTAACCCTGTGGTTACTGGACTGGAGGCCGGAGAAGCAAAAGAAGAAGAGGAATTAAAATTAACTATTACTACTACCGGTGCTATTTCTCCCCGCCAAGCCCTTCGCCAAGCCTTAGAAATAACTAATCAAATTAACGACCAAATTAAAAGTGAATTAGTTAAATAAGGACCAGTAAAAATAAACAACTCCCTAGAAAAATGCTTACGGCCGGGATTAATAATAATATAATAAAAATAATACTGAGTTAACAAGCCAAGAAAAAAATAATTTTAAATGATTAAAGAGCGAGAAGAAGTAACACCGCGAGAAGTTAATCTTTTACCACTAGTAATTTAGTTAAAAAAACAAATGAGTTTAATATTGCTATAGTAAATTATCAAGAAATTAACTGGCTTTTGTGAATAAAAATATGAAAAATAAAGAATTACACCTAACCTTACAAAAAGAATTACACGAGTGGGAGGAAAAAAATACTCGCTTGGTTGAAAAGTTAAAACTGGTGGGGGCTCACGATGCTTCGGAAAACGCTGATTGGCAAGCCATTAGAGACAAAATTACGTTCGGCCAATGAAAAATCTCGCACCTCAAAACTCAACTTGCCGAACTCCAAACCAGTAACCAAGTAAATAAGCGGGTGGTTTATCGCTTGGTGGCTACCGGGCAAGAAAAATTTGTCGAGTTAACCAGCGACCCGGAAGTTGACCCCAGCCACCAT